TTACTCATCCAAAAGGATAGATTTCAAGTTATTTATGTTTGAATAATTTCTCTTTATCTCCCTCTCCTAATATGCAAACCAATGCTAAGATGTTAAACACTCGCAAACTGGACAGTTGATAAATGACAGGGAATGGATTGGCAAATAGGAAGTCGTTTTAATTAATTAATAATTTCCTGATTGGATGTCGGTATCTAAGACATTTTGATAATAAACAAATTGTATTTGTTTTTATAATTGGGCAAGGAGATGACGCGCCTTGTTTCTTTTTTTCCGCCATTCATCTCTGGACAACTATCCAGACGCGTTCTCGAACATAGAGAGTATTTGTAAAAGTAAATTTATTTACATAAGTGTAAAAAGGTGTTGAAATTAAAATTAAAGAATTGTGAACAGTTTGAATTGAAATTGTTATTTAATTGAATACTTAAATACAAAATCACAATTAAAAGCGCCCCATAGGCGCAAGCTCACGCCATATTTCTCACGAAGCTTTAAAATTCCCTAAGAAGAACGCAACAACATAGACTGAGTAGTGATTATATAACTATATATTTTTGTATTCTACTATGTTTTTCATCTAGCAATAAGTTGCAATACTGTTTTTTTAAGAGTCGTATGCGTGCGATCAATTAGGAATTATTCTTAAGATTGTTTGGTTATTTTTATTTTAAGTCTTTGGTACCAAAGACACTTTTTGACTGTACAAACTGTTAACTAATAAACTTATTAAAAAAAAAAAAAAAGTATCACGCAATCCAGAAGTCGGCAGTTCATCTCCCGCCTACCCAGTTGAGCTTTTTTTCACACGAATTTTTTTTTTAATTCTTACATGATTTATATTTATTACTGTTCCGTTGAAATTATTCTGAAGTAAAAAACATTTATAAAATTAATTATATTTCATTTATTTATGGGTAAAATATCTCGGACCCACATAATAGATATATAATAACTGCAATCATGAATAAACAATATATCAATACATAACTATATACAGATAACTCGCCTTAACCGACTCGGCTACACCGATCTTGTCTTCCATGTTTCAAATTATGTCTCACCCTGCTCTCTAAAATATTTATTGTTAATTTTCTCAACAACGAAGACTTATGTGGCGGAAACCCACTCGAGTTTGTTTGTGCATAGTCTATATTAATTAATATAATTTAATATCCCCTACCGCTGAAACAGCTTTTAGAAATTCTTTACTATCGAAATTTCCAAACAATTGCAGTTAAAACTAATAGATTTTTGTACGAATATTTAGGGTAGTGATGAGTAGGGTTGTAAGGATAACATCTAATTATAAAAATAATTTATGTATACACATAACATGTATGTATATAATAAAAAATTTACATATTGAAGTGGAAAACATTTATTTTCTTCTTTTTAAATGCCTCACAAATCAATATTGTTTAAGTTTTTATTTTATTGGGAGGTTACAAAGTGAAATTACAAAATAATTAAAAATAAAAAGTAAAACCGCCATATTGAAATTGGAGCGGGGTCTCCTGATTGTTGCTCACGCGCTTAGGTTGCCGAGCATCGCGTCGAAAACGTGAATTTTCGCCGTAGTGGTGTTTGAACAGGATTTCCAAGGCAGCAGTGATGTCAGAATCGTGGTATGATTTACTCCCACTCTTTTCCGAATATACCTCGCTGTCTCTCAAATGCAGAATCCGTGGGACGTGATCCCCCACTCTTTTCCCACTATAGCTCCCAGACTCTCGAACGGCCAGGGCAGTGCGCTGAGCGTACATGGACAGGGCTGGAATATGCTTATGCTGCCAGCACGGTGGACGTAAAGTGGGAGACGTCGGTAGGTCATAGTGGGAGACGATGGTACGTCGGAGTAGGAAAGTGGTGGCGGTAAACAGTATCACGGTTCTATGGTCTGCTTTTCGAAAGAAGAGCCCTGGGAGGTAGGCATGACTTTTTGCGGTGTTGTCGCGATCACGACACCTCTTCGGCGCTCGTGTGTTTTTCACTCTTCGCGTCTTGGCCAATAACGTTCGACCGTCGACGTGCGTCCTCGTCTAAGGTCGCCTGTCTCCATCGCACGTATTACAAACTTCTTGAGAAGGACCTACGTATTGTACAATCTCAAGTAGTGGGGACTGCGTTCGGCACGCGCCCGTCAATTATCCATTGTCTGGAAATGGCGGAGAATGTTGACGAGACACTGAACGTTGTCACACGTCAAGAGTTAAAATACATGAATAAGAAAAAGTTTATTTCGTTTGGAAGAATGTATTGTACCCAAATATTGAACAACATATTAAAAGGGGATTAAATTAATATGTAGGTTATTAAATGTTACACTTGGAAATCGCAGGGTAAACAAGGAATTGGTTTACCGAGCATCTGAGCGAGAGGCTCTCGTGTCGAAATGCCCGAGGATGGAAAGAGACACACAGTGGCATTGAGGCCGTGACAACGTCGTACGAAATACGCAGCTCGCGTTGGATCCCCACCAGGCCACGCGCCAAGGCAGGGCGATCCCCGAGGGCTCTTCTTTCGAAAAACAGACCATAGCATCACTGTTACATACGTGCAGCATTCCGTCTCCTCATCGCCCTCCAGTCGCTTTCTCCCCTCCCTCTGCAATGTGCGAGGCGGAGACGAATTACTCCAGTGCTACTTTTGTCCTTAGGTCCCGCTTCATCCCTACCATAAGACCGTGCTGTCTATTACTCTATGTGAGAAGCCGTGTTCAGCCCAGCGTTACCATATTTCTCCTTGCCCTTCCCGTGCCTCGTCCTCCGCTGCCGCGCTGACGCATGTACATACTGCGTGAGGCAAGCTAAATGGTGTCCCAAGAGAACCGTATGCACCACTGCACTGCACAATAAACATCTACAAGTCGAGCCGTCAGTGGCGTCGCGTAGTAGAAAAGACCACCCAGTATTCTCCCCACTTGGTACCACAGGCGGTAGAGTGAGGAGTGAGGGACCCTCGTCTGGTAACGCTGGTCCAGCCATGTCGTCCCGATTTGATCGTGACTTTGACATGAAGCACCGCCATCGTTCAACCAATGTACTATATCCCTCTGTACTCCTCTTCACCCCGCAATGGTCGATACATTGCCATGTTTGCTTACCTCACCAGGTGGTGCTGGCAGCAGTTATGTTGTAGGGATCGGATACTGCCGTCTCTCTCCCTCCGTAGTGTCTCCTTCTCCCGCAAGGAGAAAGAGGCGCGTGCATCGCGTTGCTGCCTGCGTGCGGCAGATCCATCTTGTCCGCTGTCGCTACAGCACGTACACGTGCTCGTAGACAATAAAGTCTTTGTTCCATACACGTGGCATTATTATTTAACCTCCGCGCTACAGTGGCCGGGACGTAATATCCCTAGCGTCCCTCAACGCCACATTGGTGACCCCGACGTGATCGGCAGTTCCATGGACGTGAAAAATTAAAATTCTGGAAGGAACATCGAGCCAATCGACACGCTGACGCATTGTCTTCGCTGCGGAGGTCTGTTCCTGTCCTGAGACGTCTCTTGGCCTTACCGGCATGCCGCGCCGGAGAGGCATTCTTCACGGCAACCTGATGCGATAGCTGTTGTTGCGTGGTTCCGCAACGCGGAAAATCGTCGTCACCGGTGCCTGAGGCGGTGCGATGCAGCGTGTGCACAAGCTTTCGTTCCCGATACATCGTCATCGGTGCCTTGCATGGGAGGTTCGTGTGCTGTGCCCGAATCATTGTCATCGGTGCCTTGCACGGGAAGGTCTTGTGCTGTTCCCGAATCATAGTCACCGGTGCCTGTTGGTACATCGTCGCTGGTCCCGAGGAGGTCTTCGTCATCGTCCCAGGATCTTTGTCAGCGGCGTCATCCTCCACGGCGGTGCTGCGGCTGGAAAGGTAGCTACGCACATAATGTGCGCAACATAATTTTTTGCGGCGCGCATCGTCCGTGTACGATGGCATTATTTGCCCATTCCCCGTGGCAGTAGTTTGGTTGTGGCAAGGCGGCCACGTGCATTAACGCACGCGACACCATTCTCTTTTGTTCGTCGTTCGCGCGGCCGGTGAGCGTCCATTGTTTGTCGTCTGTTCGACATCCATTATCCAACGCCCGATATGTTTATTTCGTCGTTCAACATGGTTTTATTCGTCGTTCGACATGTAGCAAGTCTGGATAACCCAGTATAGTTACGAAAAAGGCTATTAAAGACCGTTTTCGATTAGGTCGCTTAAATGTTCAGTATGGAGAGCGACCTGAAGAGGATTTTAGCCGTCATGACGTTCCTGTCCGAGAGGCTGGAGCATTTAGAGGCGCGAAATAATGAACCACGTCCTCGGGCGGCGTCGCGCTCGGGTTCGAGTAGGAACCGCCGCCGGTCCGCGGAGCGCGCGACTCCCCGGTTGTGTGTCGCGCACACTAAGTACCCGGCGAACTCAACTTCCTGTAAAAGCTGGTGTGCCAAGTTTGCCTCATGGCAAACAAAAAACTAGTTTCACCTTCCCGCGCGGAGGCCGTCGTGGAGGGTGCTCGGGAATCCAGTCGCCTCCACATTCGCGACCGAAAAAGCCGTCAATATTTTTTAATCGACACGGGAGCCGATATTTCGTTGCTCCCGGCGAATATGAAAATTAAGGGCGAATCGTCGGGCCTCAAATAATGCACCGCGAACGATACCTGCATCGACACTTTTGGCGAGTCGTTTCGCGAATTAGACTTGGGCCTGAGACGCTGTGTCAAGTGGAATTTCTGCATCGCTGCAGTTCCGTACGCAATTATTGGCGCCTATCTCTTGCGTCACTACGGATTGGTAGTCGACCTTCGAGGGCGTCGCCTCACCGATTCCTTGACGCAGATCTATTCCATTGCAGTTGTCAGACCGGCACTGATTCATTCAGTGCATACGGTCAATCCTGGTTCCAGGTGCGCGGAAATCCTAGTCCATTTCCCTGAGATTACGGGTTCTTCCCCTTTAACGCCCCCGGAGGGTCATAATGTGGTACATCACATTTTCACTTCTGGTCCTCCGGTTGCAGAGCGCGCTAGGCGTCTCTCCCCGGAGAAGCTCTGTGCAGCTAAAGCCGAATTTCAAGCTTTAGTTGCGGCTAGCATCTGTCGTCCGTCTCGCAGCCCTTGGGCGAGCCCGATCCATCTTGTTCCTAAGAAGGACGGTTCCTGGCGAGTCTGTGGCGATTACCGCCGCCTTAATGCGTTAACTACGCCGGATAAATATCCAACTCCCCATCTCCATGATTGTTCTGTCAATCTTCATGGAAAGAAGGTCTTTTTGTCTCTCGACTTACACAAGGCCTATAATCAAATTCCTATGGCTCCGGAAGATGTCGAGAATATGGCAGTGATTACGCCGTTCGGCTTGTTCGAATACCTGTTTATGACATTTGGGCTCAGGAACGCCAGCCAGTCATTTCAGCGTTACATCAATCGTGCGTTGGGTGACTTAGATTTCGTCTGCGTCTATATAGACGACATTCTTGTTGCTTCCGAATCCTTAGTGCATCATGAAATGCACTTACGCGCTGTGTTTCAGAGGCTCAAGGAATTTCACCTCCGTTTTAATGCCGACAAGTGTGTGTTCGGCGCCTCCGAACTCGAGTTCCTCGGATATTCGATCAACAGTGCGGGCATTCGGCCTACGACGAAAACGGTTGACGCGATCACCAATTTTCCCCAGCCAAAAACCATCGCTCAGCTTCGACGTTTTCTGGGGATGGCGAATTTTTATCGCCGAAACCTTCCCAACGCGGTACAATCACAGGCCCCGTTGAACGCGTTTCTCACCGATTCTCGGAAGAATGACAGACGCGAAATTGTTTGGTCCTCGGACGCGGTACATGCGTTTGAAAAGGTTAAATCAGACCTTGCCAACGCAGCGTTACTGGTGTTCCAACATCCTCGTGTAGGCGCAGATTTGCGTGTCATCACGGACGCTTCGGATTTCGCTATGGGAGCGGCTCTCGAACAGCGTTCTTCAGGTTCGTGGGAACCCCTCGCATTCTTTCCGCGGAAATTCTTTTCGGCGCAAAAGAAATACAGCGCGTATGACCGTGAACTGACCTCCGTATACGAGGCCATCAAGTACTTCCGTCACTTCCTCGAGGGTCGCGACTTTAGGGTGGTCACTGACCACAAACCCTTACTGTATGCCTTTATGCAGCGTTCCGATAAGGCTTCTCCTCGGCAGCTGCGCCAGCTTTCATTCATCGCGCAATTTACTACGCGTATTGAACATGTGGCAGGCTCGGAGAACACCGTCGCCGATTCCCTTTCGAGGATTGACGCTGTTCGTCTCCCTGTGGAATTCGACCTGGATGAGCTTGCAAGATTGCAGAGCTCTGACACTCAGCTACAGCTGATTCGCGGGGCTTCGGATCATTCGTTGAAATTGAAGAGCATCCTGTGGGGACCAGAGCAAGCTCCAGTTTTCTGTGAGATTTCTAGCGAGGCAATTCGTCCGTATATTCCGGCGAGCCTTCGCGAAAGAGTCTTCCACACCTTTCATGATCCCGCCCACTCTAGCGGCAAGATCACTGATCGCATGATTCATCAGAGATATGTCTGGCCGGATATGCATCGAGATATTGCATCTTGGTGCAAGAACTGTGCCGCGTGCCAGCAATCCAAGGTCTCACGTCATGTCCGTCAAACTCCAGAGCATTTCGTCGCCCCTGATGGTCGTTTCGACCAAGTTCATATTGACATTGTAGGGCCTCTGCCCTCGTCACAGGGATGTTCGTACTGTCTCACGATGATCGACAGATTCTCTCGTTGGGTGGAGGCTGTTCCTATGCCGGATATTACGGTCCAGACGGTAGCCAGGGCGTTCTACGACACCTGGATTTCACGATATGGTGCACAAGGTCATAACTACCGACCAGGGTGCTCAGTTCGAATCCCGTCTGTTTTCGGCACTCCTGTCGTTGATAGGGTGTAGCCGTGTTCGTACGACGGCGTATCACTCCGCGTCAAATGGCATGATTGAGAGATGGCATCACGTTTTTATAGCCGCAATCATGTGCCATGCAGATGCAAGCTAGTCGCGAGTTCTCTCCACAGTTTTGCTAGGTCTCAGATACCATATGCGAGTGGACACTGGTGCGTCCCCCGCAGAATTTCTGTTCGGCACCACTTTGCGCCTTCCCGGTGAGTTCTTCCTTCCGGAAGATATTTCACCCGACCCAAATTTCTTCATCCAGGAATTCCGCGAGTACATGCGTCAGGTTCGTCCGGTGCCCGTAGCGCACAAGCATGCGAAACGTGCGTTTTACTTTAAAGAACTCCACAATTATTCGCATGTCTTCATGCGAAACGTGGCAAAAAAGGCACTCGAGAGGCCTTATTCAGATCCGCACAAGATTTTGCAGCGCGTGTCTGATCGCATCTTTAATATTGACGTCAACGGTTCCGCCAGAAGTGTCTCCGTCGAGTTTTTAAAACCCGCGCATTTCGTCCCGGATAATCTCGAGGATGATTTGAGCGTGCCCGTGAGCGGCGATTCGTCCGCGACTTCGAGGCCGCTTGGTTTAACAACGTACTCGCGCAGAAGAGTCACGTTCGCGCCCGGTCCAGCGGTGCGCACTTAAAAAACGCCCCAACTTAGTTTTAGTGCCTGCGTTAGTTTTAAGACTTATTTGTACAGCATATTATATCGTGTGGTTTGTTTAATTAGCAATAAGCAGCGTATTATATTGTATGTCTTGTTTCATCATAGTGTATATCTTGTGTGACTGTTGTATGTTTTGTTTAATTAGCGATAAGTAGCGTATTAATATATTGTATTGTTGCGTATTCGCAACTGGTAATATTGTTGGGTTTTACCAGTACGGGTGACCGGCGTAACTGGAGAGCAGCCAACTAGCTCAGAACGGTGTAGAGAACCACTAGGATATCACTGAATTATAACACGTGTCCGTAAAAGAAAACTTTATTCATCCCGATATCGGGAGCGGCGGATAGAGACGTGCGTCTTACGCGTTTTTTATTCGCGTACGTGCGCAATTCGTTGCCTTTTGTCGCGACGGCGGGGTCGCCGGCAGCTTCTGTATATGACTCGCGGATGGTGTATGCCGGTTTTACATTTTCTATGGAGACGGAGCGCGGCTTTCCGTTTACTTCGATTTCGACGACTTTGCCGGTTGTACGTTTTAGCACTTTGTGAGGACCGGTGTATGCGCGTTCCAATGCTTTTTTAGTGGTACCCGCGCGGAGGAACACATGCGTGCATGTGGCGAGGTCTTTGAAAAGAAACGCACGTTTCTTGTGCCGTTGTCCCACTGGGACAGGTTTCACCTTTTGCATGTGCGCGCGGAATTCCTCGATGAACGCCCTTGGATCCGAGTTGGAAAGCTCGTCGTCGGGGAGGACAAATTCTCCCGGAATGCGCAACGTGGTTCCGTAGAGGTATTCGGCGGGTGATGAGCCGGTGTCCATCACGTTGTTTCGCAGGCCTAGCATTACGGTGGACAGAACGCGTGTCCACGTGGGGTTCACGTGACAGAGTATGGCGGTCTTTAAGCATCAGTGCCAAAGCTCGATCATGCCGTTCGAGGCAGGGTGGAACGCGGTGGTTCGGATTCGGTGGCAACCGGAGAGTTTGAGCAGTGCTGAGAAGAGCTGGGACTCAAACTGACTGCCCTGATCCGTTGTTAACGTTTCAGGGGCGCCGTAACGGGAGATCCAGTGATCTACGAACGCCCGACAAACCGTGTTAGCCTCTATGTTCGCGAGCGGAATGGCTTCCGGCCATCGCGAGAAACGGTCGATCATGGTCAGACAGTAGCGATGGCCTTCTGACAGTGGCAACGGACCGACGATGTCCATGTGGACGTGACGAAAACGTTCGCCAGGGGCGACGAATTCTTCCGGTTTCACGTGATTGTGGCGCGTGACCTTTGACTGTTGGCAGTCTAAACACTCACGCGACCACGTCGCAATGTCTCGGTGCATACGCGGCCAGACGTATCGCTTACGGATTACACGGTCGGTGACTTTCGCGCTCGGATGCGCGGGTCCGTGAAACTTGTCGAAGATCGCCTTGCGCGACGGGCCTGGAATGTACGGACGCAAAACTTCTCCGGAAAGATCGCATACGATAGCGATGTGTGTAGGTCCCTACCGAATTCGCCGAAGGGCCAGCGAGTGGTCGGTAGAGGCCAAGAGAGTTTTGAGCTCGTCGTCGGCTTCCTGCTGTTTCGCGAGCTCCTCTAAGGAAACGTCCGCGGCGAGGTGCAGGGTATCGACGCGCGATAACGAGTCGGCGACGACGTTTGCGGAGCCGGGAAGATGCTCGAATCGCGTAGTAAACTGCGAGATGAAGGACAGTTGGCGTAGCTGACGAGACGACGCCTTGTCTGCGCGTTGTCGGAACGCGTACATGAGTGGTTTATGGTCGGTGACGACCGTGAAATCGCGACCTTCCAGGAAGTGGCGAAAGTATTTGAGAGCCTCAAACACTGCGGTTAGCTCGCGATCGTACGCGCTGTACTTCCGCTGAGAGGGGGTGAACTTCCGTGAGAAGAACGCTAATGGTTTCCACACGTCTTGGAACCGTTGTTCCAGAGACGCTCCCATTCCGAAATCGGACGCGTCGGTGACGAGGCGTGTTGCTGCGTCGGGAGCAGGGTGATTCAGCAGGGTTGCGTTCGCGAGGTCAGATTTGACTCGTGCGAATGCTTCCTCTGCCTGCGAAATCCAGAAGATCTCACGCTTGTCGTTCTTCTTGGACTCGAGAAGATACACGTGCAAGGGCGCTTGCACTACGGCGGCGTTGCGAAGGCTACGCCGATAACAATTGACCACGCCCAGAAATCTGCGCAGGTCTGCGACCGTTTTGGGCTTCGGAAAGTCTCGAATGGCGTTGACCTTGTCAGGAATGGGTGAGGACCCATTCTGGTCAATGATATGCCCCAAGAACTCGAGGCTGGGCTTGCCAAACTCGCACTTGGCAAGATTCAGCTGTAACGCGTGCTCTTGCAGGCGTTGCAAGACGGTATGGAGGTGGCGTTCATGCTCCTCGCGGTTCGAGGAAGCAATGAGGATGTCGTCTATGTACGCGAAGACGTAATCAAGGTCCCCGAGGGCGCGGCAAATGTACCGCTGGAACGTTTGCCCGGCGTTGCGCAGGCCGAAAGGCATTACAGTATATTCATACAACCCGAAAGGGGTGATCACGGCGGTTTTCGCGACATGCGACGGTGCGACTGGGATCTGCTGATAAGCTCTCCGCAGATCGAGCTTAGAAAACACTGTTTTCCCCAAAAGGTGGACTGAGTAGTCATGAAGGTGTGGTACCGGGTACCTATCGGGAACGGTTACAGCGTTCAAACGGCGATAGTCACCGCAAATTCTCCAACCCCCATCCTTCTTAGGAACGAGATGGATGGGACTTGCCCAAGGGCTGCTGGAGGGACGACACGTTCCATCGGCTACGAGCCGTTGGAACTCGGCTTTCGCGACCTTGAGTTTTTCCGTAGAGAGCCGTCGCGCGCGTTCGGCGACGGGAGGACCTTCTGTCACGATGTGATGAAATACATCGCGCGGTGCCTCGCAGTGCGACTGCGACGGTCCCATGACACTAGGAAATTCTGACAATATTTTCGCGAAAGGTAGAGAAGGGTCAATCGACTTGACGCCTAGCAGCGGAGATGGTCTGATCGTGCAGACCGTAGAGATCTGTGACAAAGGATCGATCAATCTGCGATGACGCAGATCGACCAGGAGACCATAATGGTTTAGAAAATCTGCACCAAGGATTGGGTACGGAACCGCGGCTACGCAGAAATTCCACGTAAAGACACGGCGAAGGCCTAAATTGAGGGCTAGGCGCTTCTCCCCATAGATTGAGATTTTCGTCTCGTTTGCTGCGTACAAGCGAGAGATCGGCACCCGTGTCGATTAAGAAACTGGGACCGAGGTCACGATCTCGAGCATGGAGGCGGTGTGATTCGGCACTCGGCGCGCTTGCCTCCGTGCGGCGAGTGCACTTTAGTTTTCCGGTTTCCATGCACAGGGTTTCGCACAGTTTCGTGCGTCCTTTCCGAACTTCCGGTGGAAGTGGCAGAGAGAGTCCTCACGCGTTCTCGGGCGCGAGCCTGATCTTCCCCGAGAGGGGGTTCGACGACGAACTTCGCGAGACATTCTTCTCACTGCGTTCGCCAAATCGGCTACTTGCTTTGTGAGAGCATTTACTTTTTCCTCGAGTTCGCGGTTTGACGAAATGCGCGAAGGCGCGGAGGAAACGGCCAACGCGGCTGCGTCGGGAACGCGCGACGGCGCGGAAGATACGGAAACAATGGCTGAGCCGGAGGCTTCCATGACCTTGTCGGCCAGCTCCGCGAACTCGTGGGGATCCGTGATCCGCGACATGGCGAGGATCGCCTGGACTTGAGCAGGAAGCTGCTCTAAGAAAATTGTGCGAATGACGTCGTCGTTGCATGAACCGTCGTTTAGGTTGCGGAGGCGTGTCAGGATTTGAGAGGGCTTTCCTTCTGTAAGGACCTCGCCCTTAAGGAGTCGGCGTAACCGCGCTTCTGCCGACGTCGAGAAGCTTGAGATGATGCGCGTTTTTATTTGCTCGTACAGATCCGGCGGTTGAGGGGACGCGGTGAGAATGTCCCGGACCGAAGCGATCTGATCATACGAGAGCGACGCGACAACAATGTCGGCCATTGTCTTCTGCGAGGTAACTCGAGCTGCGGTGAGCGAAGACTCTACCTGAATGAACCACAACTGCGGATCTTCTGGGAAGAACGCAGGGATTTTCGGTACGCGATAGGAATCCACGTGTTTCTCGATAAGTGACTGTAAGGTCTCTTCCGGCCCCGCAAACGGCCCCGGTGAAACCATCGTAATTTACGGCGGTGTACACGAGGCGACGACGAGGGAATCCGCGACGCAGGCGCAGAAAATTCCGAAAGGAATCGAACGCGCGACGGTGGCGCGGTACTACACTAAATTTGGCGCGGGACGCGAGGCGCGCGGCGCGACGAGGAGAATTCGACGCAGAATTCGTTACAACGCACGCTTACGATAATCTAGGCGCATAACTTACATTATTCGCGCGGTTTCATGCTGCTGCGGAATCCCTGGAGACGCATGGGTGTCTCCGACACGTGCTCGGACGGCATCGGCAATGGCGGCTTCCGGTCGCGTGGTCGGGAACTGCGTAGTCCTTGACGGGCTGCACAGCGGTGGTCCGTGGAAAAGGCGTCGGTGGTCGATGGCTTCACGCAATTAGCATTCCTGACAAGGTCAACGCCATTCGAGACTTTCCGAAGCCCAAAACGGTCGCAGACCTGCGCAGATTTCTGGGCGTGGTCAATTGTTATCGGCGTAGCCTTCGCAACGCCGCCGTAGTGCAAGCGCCCTTGCACGTGTATCTTCTCGAGTCCAAGAAGAACGACAAGCGTGAGATCTTCTGGACTTCGCAGGCAGAGGAAGCATTCGCACGAGTCAAATCTGACCTCGTGAACGCAACCCTGCTGAATCACCCTGCTCCCGACGCAGCAACACGCCTCGTCACCGACGCGTCCGATTTCGGAATGGGAGCGTCTCTGGAACAACGGTTCCAAGACGTGTGGAAACC